TTGTACATTAACTTTCACGAAGTCATTTACAGTTAAATGTCGTGTAGCTCACAGTATTTAGGTTGAACATTAACTTTCACTAAGTCATTTACAGTTTAATGACATGTAGCTCACAGTATTTATGGTGTAAAAAATTATCTGGTTGTCACCATTATTGAACTTTTTCAGCAATTTCTTTGTACTGTCCACATTGAATTCAACCTCAATATACTGGGTGATGAAAGACAATCCAATCACTGAGCACAAATTATCAAACAGGCACAGATCTCGTCAAATTTTACCTCTCACAATGTACCAGTAAGCAGGCTGGTATACTGGTTAGGCCAATAATATCTGTATTGCATATACAGGTATTGTGAATACATGTTGTTTTAAAAGTGTAGGTCACACCTTGTTTTGATTCTTTGCCAAAATATTTGTAAAACTAAGAAAAAGTATTCTCATAAATTGTTTTAAAAAAAAATAAAAATAATAAATAAATAAAAATAAAAAATTTTGTTCCAGAATAAAATCTACAAACTCACAATGAAAGTTATTGTGGTTAGTGATTTTGTATGTATGCATGTGTGTGTCTGTGCTTGTTGCACTGATACATGTATACCTTGAACCAAGTATTAGTAAATGAAACTTTGTACTCTAGGATAGTGCACAGACCTGATTAGTTTGGGGCTGGAAGCCATACATATTAATGTCTTAATTTGCATATTGATTAGCTAATTTTGTTATTTTTGGTAAAAATGTTATTTACGACTTCTTCTTGAAAATTACCAGCTAAATATTTTTGATAATTGGTATGTTGGTACCTTGGGCAGTCCTCTGTAAAATAATTTGTTCATTTCAGGATGTCATCTTCAGTTCTCTATTGTTGGTATTCAAACTGAATTCAAGATAAATGTTTTCATAATTGTTTTCACATTATTAGAATACCCAAAATACCCAAAATAAAAAATAAAAATGAATGTAAGTGAACATATTTTTTTTAGAATCGCCCAAAATATCATAGAAAATAAAAATGTTGCATTTTATCTTGAAGTTTGTTTTCATTGGTTCTCATGTTGACCTATATTTCTCAATTTTCTAAAATTCAGCTGAATGCTGTTTATATTATCAATGTAAATCCAACTATTGTTTTTAATTTTCAAAAAATTTATATTTAATTTAGTTATATTCCAGTGTGATCATATTTTACACAATTCAATGGGAAGTTTTCCCCATAATTCATTGCACAATTTATGGAGCACTAAATTGGTTTCTCGAAACATGAATCCTGTTCTCATTTATTATACATGTAATAATCTATTTTGGGTGATCATACACGACTCATGGATTTATTTTCATCTTTCCCATCATCTAGGTGCTTTGTAATGAACCTGCATTATTGGCCAGCATCGCCACGGTGACATGTGTGGTTAAACCGGCTAGTAGTTCTGCTTCTTCTTCCACCTCAGCACTCCATTCATCGTCTTTGCACGGTGTTCGGAGATCAAGCCCAAACATGGGTATTGGTAAGTTTGTTTCTTCTTCATTCAAATTCATCATATTTTAATAAGTTGCAAAGAGGCATTATCATGTAATGACATAGCAGACCGTGCCATATCTACATGTACACTGTGCAGTCCTATGTACTGCCTAATTTATGGCATTGCTGCACTATGTATTGGGACTTTTGGTATGGACTTTTTAGTATTGAATGATGGTCAAACTCTCAATGCTTGTAAAAATCACTGTATTTTTGTTGTAATGAGTTAAAAGAGGATGCTGCATATTGACATAACAGTCTACCCTACATGTATATACCCTACCCTGTGTATATGTTAATATTATGAGGTTATTACGAGAATACTGCAAAGTATGCACATAATATCAGATGTTGATGTGATGTGTACTGCCATGTTTGTTTTTAATTATTAGAGAACGCTTATGCACATAATCGTTCCATATATGGAATTTGCATTTCCTAATATGGTAGGATGAAAATACCCAGTGCAAAATTACAGCACGCTGTAACATACGGCGTTACAGTGACGGATGTATAATAATATTATATACATGTTTATAGTCTCATGATGTTAGCTGAAACCACATGACTATTTAATGTTATGATGTTTATATGAATTATCATTTATTAATCATATTCATATTTTGGGTGTGTATGAACACTATGTGTAAAAGACAGTCCTGCAGCATTTCTATTGCAGTAGTATGAATTTCAAACTGAGTAACAACAATTATTATGCAATGACTCACCTCATGATAATATTAACTGAAAGTTTATTTCCAAAAGATATTGAGCATATAATTCAGAAGCCCAGTTCCTTGAAATTACGATTTTGGGTTTTGGCATTCAGAGTTGATCATGTGATAAAAAAATGATTACATGGTATTGCTTAGTTGTAGAGTTGGTTGATGGTTAATACTAGGTCCATGACATCACTCATATCAACCAGTGCTATAAACTAGTGATATCATTTGATAATATTACCGTCATAGTTTTGTATTTAGGTTTCTAGGTTAATACTAGTCCATGACATCACTCATATCAACCAGTGCTATAAACTAGTGATATCATTTGATAATATTACCGTCATAGTTTTGTATTTAGGTAGGTTACCCCGTAACAAATAATTACAGACATATTTTGATTTATATTTACTGATCTGTTTCCAATAAAATTCAAAATTTCCAAAATGACTTCCAGCTATTTTCATCATCCTGAATTGGAAATAATCACCAAAATGCAACTTTGTTGAATAAAATAGGATCAAATTCAATTATATATCATTAGAGTTTTAAATTGTCTCATTTGGCATTAAACTCATGTAAATAAGTATGTAAACAACATGAATTACCAAGGAACATTTATTCCTTTTTCTATTTGTTCAGAATTATGGAAATAAACTGGTAAATATTGTACAATATGGTTTTTTTGGGTTTACATATGTTTACTTTTCAAAAGAAATGGCAAATTTTTAAATGTTATTCAATGAAGTGGGCATCAGTTGTCCATTTCTGGGCGATTTCAAATGCTGCCATAGAGAATACCGAACAGCACAAACACGAAATCTTGTCCACTGTCTGTGTATTGCATGTAGCAACTCATATTGCACCAGGAAGTTATTATATCAAGTTTTGTTGGCAAGTTATTTCTCAGTTATCACAGGTATTTCAGTCTAAAACAATGAATCATTGAATGTGTAACTGTTATAACACCATGTAAAGAGGTATTGCTATGCATATCATAAGCAAATTGTGTCACTTGTGATCGGTCACTGGTAGCATAGTGGTTGTCGTACCTTAGGCTGAACATCAAAATGGTCGACCCCTACCCTGGGTGAGTGTGCCACAGACTCAATGGGAAGGCCAATTCCACTGGCCAAGATTCATTCACTAACGAATGTGACTTTGGGGGGGGGGAGACTTGGTTAAGGTCCGCAGGTGCTTGTGTTCGCCCGAGCCTGGTTGACCCCTGGAATGCGCATTAAAATTGCCATTTGATAGGGAGATGGCCACACAGCCCTGTCATGTAGTCCCAAACAGGAAATAACTTTTGTGGCAAAATGCACTACATTTGTATGTGTCAGCACTAGCACTTGGAATTTGCACTTACAAAAAAAAAAGGTCAGGAGAAACAACAGTGAAATTCAATGTCCGGAACTTTCGCCTGGCACAAAAACATTTAAAAAAAAAAAAAATAAGCAAATTGTGTTTACATCATAGTGTTCTATTACCCACAAATGTCGAACCATAACAAATATTTGTAGAAGATGACATCAGATTGTTGTGTTTAATACCCTGTCTTGTGTCACATGTGGAGAAACATGTTCATTATGCATGGGATACTGACTTTCAAATCTCATTTCCGAAACCATCATAGAAATTATTTAGTGTGTGTGTAACTTGACATAATACACAAATAATGTATTTAAATAATTATGGTTTCTGGTTTATCAACTTGAATGTATGATAACTAGAGCCTGAATATTATCTTCGTCTCAACCATTATCTTTATTAAAATATTACTCTATAATAAATCATATACTGCATGTAATTAGCTGAATGTCTGTTCTTTGAACCATGTCTGTGTCTATATATTCACAACTGTAATGTTAAAGCTGGCCTGGCACAATGTTTTTTTTGAAATTTACAAGACTCAACAACCCGCAGCTGTAATATCCTTTCTAACATACAACACCATGGTGTCTCCAGCACTCAAACTCCCAAATGCAGATTTAGAATAATTCTACCGCACATGGCTGAAAGAACTATATTCACTGCATCAAGTATTAATGAGCCTAGTATCTAGGGCCATTGACTATGTTCACTGATAATTAAGTCTCCATGGTTACATCTCAAAGATAAAACCTATTAATAGTAGTATAATTACCAAGTTGAAGTTTTAGTACGTATTGCGTCTTTGTCAGTGTGTTGCTTTGTTGAATTACATCTCAACGGCTTTCCAGATCTTTTTTTGTCAAAATTGGACAACAATGTCTTTTACTAATTTTTTGATCTCATTGTCAAACACTATTTTGATTGATTGTCTGCTGAATTAAATTACCTGTAAAAAAAAATACTAAACGTGATTGAAAGCAGCCGGTAAAATGCCTTCTTCTGGGATACTGATCTTAATTTAGTGTAATAATCTTTTTATTACCAAGGCTTTGTGGAATTATCCCAGAAGATACATTAATTTTGTCGTTGAGTGACAAATTAATGTATTGCATTTTAATACAAATTGAACCAATTGCTGTTATACTGGTGTTATTCATGTTGTGGATACAACCTGACCAAGTAGTATGGATTGTTTCTTCACTTGTTTCCGAGTTGTTTGTTTATACTGGACTTTAGCTGCATAAACATCGTGGTAAGTGTTGCTATCTTTGTCACCATGGAGAATTTACCACTTTTCAATTTTTTTTTTATGAATTTATTTATGAGTAAGTCAATGATTGCTTGTAGACTGTGTTTAAATGGTCAACTTCAGTAGATATGAATGTAGAGATTTGGGATCCTAACAAATAAACACATTTTTCATGTAAGAAACAAATATTACTATAGGGATAACTAATGTTATTGGAATGGTCCGGTCAGTCTACACATGTAGAATATAGCACCAACATTTTTGTGAGAGAAATAATAGGGTTCAAAAGACTAGGTCGTGCAATTGTTTGTCAAGTAATGTTTTTAAAAATTGGGCGGTTAGGTCATTTTTCTATACAGTATAATATATAAAATATATTTTGAAATGCAGTCCCTCACCTTCTTGTCTATTATTGCTGATTTACATTACAAATTTTTGTTCCCCATGTGTCTAATAAATAACCTATCTAATTGCTGAACTGAATTAATGATATTATCAAAAAAAATTTCAGCCAGAAACACAAAGGTGATAAGACTTGATTTTCATTTTTTGTAAATATTTGTTTAAAGTATCTTGTGTGTTTAGAAACATAGCAACATTGTTTTTGATGAATAAAAATATGTTGTGTTTGTCATGATATCTTCAATTCTCTAATTTTGGTGAATATTTTTGTCATTTTTGGAAAAAAAGTGATATTTTCAACTTCTTGTTATAAACCGCAAATCTGATTGCTTTGTTAATATACAAATAGATACTACAGATTTGTTCATTTTGTGATGATATCTTCAATTCTCTAATTTATATGAATGTTTTTGTTATTTTTGGAAAAAAGTTATATTTTCAACTTGTTAAAAGTCTGATTCCTTTGTTAATATACATATAGATACTACAGGTGGACCTCTCTCAGATTTGTTCATTTCGTGATGATATCTTCAATTCTCTAATTCTTAGCCGAGAGGCTGCTTGTTTGCTTATCTGACATTTTCTTGGTCGCATTTTGTATATACCAGTCAGTCACCACACCGATAAGGAAATTGGCCGGGACATCATCAACATGGAACTCGAGAATCACAGGTAGGCCCTAAATGTAGAGTAACCACACAGCATTAGTGAATAAAATTCATATTACAATCTTCTGCTTTTGATTTTGAAGTTATTTAATCAATTCATCAACAGAGGGCGCTGTGTAAGAGTGAAATAAGTGGGAAAACAAGATCAGCTCTCCTTTTCTTTTGTCCATTTTTTAGCTTATCATATGAGTGATTGTCCGTCGTCGTCCGTGTCAATGTTTTACTTTTTCGACTTCTTCTTGAAAACTACAAGCCTGAATGCTTTGATACTTGGTGTATATATACCTTGGGTAGACCTCTCTCAGATTTGTTCATTTCATGATCATATCTTCAATTCTCTAATTTTGGTGAATATTTTTTTCATTTTTGGTAAAAAGTGATATTTTTGACTTCTTGTTAAAAACCGCAAGTCAAATTGCTTTGATATTACATATATAGGTACTACATGTGGACCTCTCTCAGATTTGTTCATTTCGTGATGATATTTTAAATTCTCTAATTTTGGTGAATATTTTTTAAATTTTTGGTAAAAAGTGATATTTTTGACTTCTTGTTAAAAACCGCAAGTCCAATT